CAGGTGGGTGACTTGCTTCTCCGAGCCTCAGTCTCCTCTCCTAGAAAAGGGGGCAGTGAGGTGAGGTGAGGTGAGGTGAGGTGAGGTGAGGTGTCCACGCGACCTCCCGTGTGGTGCCCGCTGTGCTGTGAACACGGGCTGTCGGAGTGAGGCCGTGGGTGGGCTGTACAGAGCACGTCCACAAGCTTCCGTGTTGAGCAAGTCGCCCTTCCTGTTGTGACTGCGGGCAGGCGGCATGTGCTAGGAGGTGAGCTGTGTCCTGGGCGCGTTCCTCAGCTCCAGTGGCTCACAGGTCCTCTGATGCATGACAGCACACACAGTCAGGGTGAAGCCATGGAGCCCAGCATCTGGGCTGAGAGGAAACAGATCTCTGCTTGCTGCTGCTTCCCAATCTCAAATTCTTGCATGCAGTACCTGGCCAGGGGCCTTCCGAAGCAGAGGACTCTCAGGTATGGGCACTGGGCACGGTGAAGAAGTGATGTCGAAGGAATAGATGTATAGCTAGGCGTGGCAGCACATGCCTGTAATCTCAGCTCCTCAGGTGACTGAGGCAGGATGGTCTCAAGTTCAGGGCTGCCTTTGGCAATTTAGCGAGACCTCGCCTCAAAATAAGAGATTAAAAAGGTTGGAGGTGTAGCTCTACAGGAAGGTCCTGGCTGCCATCCCCAGCACGGCCACAGGATGGGTCTGTGCTTGCAGCAGGCATTAGAGTTCATGCATGTATTCAACCCTTTCACAAATCCTTCTTGCACACCTGCTATGTCTCAGCGCGCAAAACCCTGGCCTCCTCGGACCCAGTAATCCACGGGGAAATTGCTAATGAACAAAGAGATGCGGAACTGTGACAGTCCTTTAGAAGGCAGGGAATGCCACGGAAAAACAGCAGGCAGAGCAAACTGAGGGCAGATGTCAGCAAACCACGGCCCATGGGCCCAGTCCAGCCACACAGTCCACACAGCTCAGGGTGCTCCTACTTCTTCATGACTGGAAAGTAATGTTTTGTGGCATGTGGAAATTGTATGAAATTTGAATTACAGTGCCCAAAAATAGTTTTAGTAGAACATAGTCACACCGATTGGGCTGTGTACCTTGTGAAGCTTCTCCTGTGTTACAGTGACAAAGTTGAATGGCTGTGACGGGGCCATATGGCCTACAGGGTCCAATATTTGGTATATTTCCCTTTACAGAAACTGATTGCAGAGACCAGTATAGAGTGAGTTATGATTCTTACAGCAGGAAGGCAGCTGGGCAGGTTTTAGTGAGAAGGTGGCATTTGGGTAACAATGGAGGAGGCTGGAGGAGGGAACTCTGTGGGCTTGGAGAATGTCCCAAGTAAAGGACCGGGCAGTGCAGAGGCCCTGAGGTGGGTATGTGTGAGGGACAGTGTGGAAGCTTGGAGCAGAGGAAGCAAGAGAGGGAGCAGGGAGGGACTGAGGACAGGCAGATGAGGAGCAGATTGTCCAGGGTCTTTCAGGTCACAGGAGCATCTCTGACACTTCTCCTGAGAAGGACAGAGCCATACGGGGACTCTGGGTGGGCAAGGAACATGGCTTAACTCAGGTGCTAAACAGGTCCTCTCTTCTGGTTGTGTGTGAGGCTAGGAAGGCAGAGGAGCTTTTAAGGTGGATCTGATGGTTTTTCTTGCTAGATGATCTTCTACCTGGGAGAAAGTCCCCGAAGCACTCAAACCTCAAGTCAGATGCACCAGGACTCTGGGCTTCACCATGTGACCTGAGGTGATCTGATCAATCACTCTGGCTTTGGTCCCCATCTATAAAATAAGGCTAATAAGGGGCAGGATGCAGGGGTCAGTGGGATCAATCATACAGAGCTGTTAGAATTGTGTGTGACATGCAGGGAGAGCTCCCAAGGGGCAGCTGTGATGAGGCTCCTTCCCCAAAGGGACCCTGCCAGCCAGGACACAGTCCCCAAGGTGAGTGCCACTTTTCCTCCCAGGAAGGGGCTGACACCTTCTACTCACCTCCTCTGAGCCCTTCTGAGCCTCAGTTTCCTCATCTGTCAAATGGGCATGCTGAAGTCCACAGTACAGACTGCCAGAGGCATGAAGGAAACCATTTCATAACAAGGAATGTGTCACCAGCAACAGCTATATGGGGATCTTCAAGAACGTTTGCCAACATTTTATTAGGAACACTTTCAAAATGTCTTTTTGAAACGGGGTCTCGCTATGCAGTTGAGGCTGGCCTTGAGCTCACTTTGTAGCCCAGGCTGGTCTCGAACTCGCAACGATCCTCCTGCCTCAGCCTCCTGAGTGCTGGAATTACAGGCATGAGCCACCACGCCCAGCAGACAAAAATTTCTTAAACAAGATGTAGGCAGTCACTATCCAAGATTGATAAATTAGATGATGCTTCATGAAGACCTTTTGTTCATTAAAAAAAAAAAAAAAACTCCACAAAGACAGGAAAATGAAGCCATCAAGATAGTCATACAACTGACACTGGCTTGTATCCAGAATAATATAAAAGGCAAATACATTTACAGATGGGCACCCTCCCCAAATAAAAAGACGACCCAACAGAGGATGAGCAAGATGTGTTCCTGAACAAACAAATCACCAAAAGAAAAAAAAAAGGATAATGCCTAAATGAAAAGATATGCTCTTGTGTTACTCACCAGGAAAATGCAAATTAAAGTACAGTGAGCTGCTGCTACACACCCACCTGATAGAGCCACGTGCTGGCGAGGATCTGGAACAGTGGAAATGTTTCTCTGTGGACGGTGGGAGGAGAATAACCATTAAACCACTTTTGATAACGATTAAACCACTTTGGAAAACACTTCGGTAATATCTAGTACAGATGAACATTTATATACTGTATGGCCCCTCTGATCAAGAGAAAAGTGTAGACATGTCCGATAACGAAATGTGTCATAGGAATCTAAGAGGGGTGCTATTGCAAGAGCCGAAGGGAGTGGGAGAGACTCCAGCAATTTCTATTGACAGTCAATAGAAAAATAAATCAGGGTGTATTTACACAATGAATACTACTAGGCAATGAGAAAGAATGGGGTGCATTTATCTGCCCAACCCAGAGGAATTGCACAATGATAATGTTGAGTAAAAGAAGAAGTCAGATACAAGAGCTTCATACTGTGTATTTTTATTTGCACTGTATGCAAAAAAAAAAAAAAGCAAAAGGAAAGTACTGTGTATGGGAGATGTACTTAGGTGGTAAACCAAGGTTGGGTCAAAGTCAGTAAAGTGAGCTTTCTTGGGGTGGGCAGGGCCTGGCAGGGGACAGAAACGGGTTTGGGGAGAGCTGGCGAGAGAGCAATGTTATACTGGCCAGTTCTACTTGTCATATGCATTAAGTGGAATGCGAGGTGTTCAATACCATCTCATAGGTGTGCCTGATTGCAGAACTTTAAAAAGCTTAATTTAAAAGTGGTTTAGAAGTGTCAGTTTCGGCTGCTGCTGTATTCCTAAGTGTGCAGAGTAGATAATCTGCCGCACGGAGGGATGACCATGGTGTGGGGAGGGATGCAGGCCGCCCCTCTGGGCAGGCACTGCTCTGGGTGGTTTACATCTATTCTTGACTGTAACCCTCCCAGCGACCCAGTGACAGCTCCTGCTGCTATCCTCACTTACCTGAAGGGGACACCGTGGCCATGAAGGGAAATCGCTTGCCTCCTGTAGTCCATGCACCAGCTAGGTTTAAACACAGGCCATCTGGCTCTGTTCACCTCCCCAACGGTCCAGCAACCCATGAGTCATGAGTCCTGATCTAGGATCAGAGGGTCGGACCTCAGCGATTGCAAATGGGGCGTTGTAATTTGGGATTGCGGATGGAAAACAGAGGCTACATAAACTTGGATAAGAAAAACTGTTTGCTCTTACTGCCGTTTAACTCAGGAGTCCTGAAAAACGTGGTCTGGAAACCTATGGCTCTCCCAAGACTTTGTCCTGGGTTAATGAGGCCCACACAGGTTTTGTAAGCACGGGAAGACGAGTGTGTCCTTTTGACCCTTCGAAGGCTCTGGGACTGCAATGACCTCATCGCTGATGGCTAATGGTGTCTGTGTGTGTGTTTTAAAAACACCTCCGTTTTATTTTCCTACGTGGTAAATAGTACTCCACATGTGCATAATCCACCTGTGCAAAATACTCATACTTTTTAGAAGTAAAACCTTTGGGAACCACTGCTGTAATTACAACTGAGCACATCCTTCTGTGACGAGAAGCCCAACAGACCACAGTATATTAGTAGTCCTAGCGTGAGGAGAATTCACAGGTGTTTTCTAGTCTTCATGACAATCCTTCACCTTCCGTACAGCCATCAAAACTTCAGAGTTACTCTGTTCTTTTGGACCTGGCAGTGGACTTCAGCTTAGTGAGTTAATAAAAGAGCACATGCATATTTGTTTTAAAAATCTTTGTGCATAGTTCAGGAGCACGGGTTTCTTTGATAATTCTGTGTATTTATTTTATGCATGTAAGAACAGGATCCCGGGAAGGGGCCTCTCCAGCTTGCCACAGGCGGCTTTAGCACAAAAACAGTTAAGAATCCTCCATTTTAGAAGACTATAGGAAAAAAAATAATAAATTAGGGAGGTGCCCACCACAGTAGAGTGGGTTAAAGGTACTGGAATTTGATTGACAGCTGCTTCTACTGTCTTTGAAGCTGAAACACAAACTCCACAGTGCAAAAGGCTCGTCTGGGGGTCCTTTCCACCCCAGAGCCAGGCTCTGACTGGCAGAACCAACAATTTACAAAGCCAAACCGGGCTGTCACTGTGTCTACAGACAGGAGCGGGGAGCACATGAAACTCGATACCCCGGACGTCCCCTGCCCCCCACCGGGGTGCTCCCGAACACACTTAGAGGCGCCACCCCAGCGTGATCGGCTCAGTAGGTTGACTGAAGGGAAGATTCCCCCTTGTCCTCACCCCGACCGCAGGGCAGTTTCTGGAGAGCGCGCGCTGGTAACAATAAGCCGCTCCTCTGGCTGGGGGCGCAGCAGGAACCCTGAGCATCCTCACCCAGCTGTGGGTAGGGACGCCACCACCTCCTTCCACAGGTGAGCAAACAGGGATGCGGACGCACAACCGCCCAGGCCCACGGAACACCGCTCACCTGGCTTTATGGATGCCCGGGGGGGCCTAGGAGGAGCAGGATTCAGTCTGCAAGGAGGAAGGAAGGAGGAAGCACACCCTGAGACGGAGGCTCTGACCGCCGGCTGGGAAGGATGGGGATTCCCCGGGAGCCCGGGCTCTGCACCCCGGCCTCAGCCTTATGCATCCCGCCGCGCGCTCACCTGTGTCCCGCGGGGAGGCGGCTGCGCCGCAGCTCCAGACCTCCCCGCGCCCCCTCCTGCGCCCCACCCTGGGGAGGGGGCGGACCGGTGGGCGTGGGGCGCCGGGGACCGGCCCAACCTGTGGGGCCCGGGGCCGGCTGTCTGGGGAGCCCGTCACCCCGAGGCGGCCTGTCCTTCCGGGCTTGGCAGCTGTGGGCGGCGGGAGCCTGGGCACCTGCAAACTCATAAATACTGCGGCGGCTCTCATGGCCGGGCCCGGAGAGCGAGCGAGCGCGGCTGGCATCCCCGACGGTGAGCCGGGTCCCGAGGGCGCCCCGCCCCAGCCCCCCGACTTCCAGTCCCGCTGCAGCCCGGAAGGTCAGGGTTAGGGGGAGCTGGAGACGCACCTGGAGGGGGAGCAGGTGCGGGGTGGGGAGGGGTGGTGCACAGCAGGAGCGGATGGGACCGGAAGGACTGGGGCAGAAAGCGGGGTGAGGCTGACAGGAAGGGGGGAGAGGGGACCCCCCCGGAACTTGGACTTCAGAAGGATCGGGGGTCCCCCTGACCACAACGAAAGGCTGAGGGTGGAATCCAGAGAGATGGGGTCCCTGACCGCAAGGATGCAATGCTAGGAATCTGGGGGGCAAGAGAGAAGAAACTGGGGTCCCTAACAGCAGGATGGAATGCTGGGCCTGGCCTGGCCACTCCAGCGCGGGGCGCCCCCAGGCTCCCTTTTCCAAATCTCTTTCTCGGTCAAGGGCTGGGGAGTCAGGCCTGTGGGGGTTCAGTTTGGGCCCCGCATCACCCTAGCAGTGCCACTGAATCACCGGCTTGCTCAGTTTCCTCTCTGTGACGGGAGGTGATGACCAGGGTAGCCACCACCTCCCAGGAATGCTGCGAGGCTCCCGGTCATCTATGCAAAGCGCCAGGCGCACTGTCGGGAGCCCGTGCTGCCGGGGCCTCAGCCTGTCATCTTCTCTCCCTCCAGCCTCCGGATAACCACGCCCCCTGAAGATCCTCTTCCTGCCCTGCCTCCTGGCCCCACGCACAGACAGACAGTCGGACAGACAGCACTGCTAAGCTCCCTCCACTCTCCTCCCTGCTGAGGGAACCCGGACTTTGATCCACTCCACAGCCCTTCCTTCCCCTCTCTGTCCACCACCATCGCCCTACCATGCACCCACTTTCTGGCTGGTGTCTACTCCTTCTTTTCTCCATGGGAGTCCAGGGAGCCCCGGAAACCCCCAGCGCTATCCCAGAGCATGTCCATCTGTCCTACCCAGGTAAGTGTCTGTGACCCCTCAGGAGGCCTTTCCCAAGGAGCTAGGGCTCAGGAACCCTGGAAATCCTTGGCTGGCGGTTTTTCAGTTCCTCCTGGGCCTCAGTTGTCTGCTTCTGTGAAACGGGATTAAAATGTCATGGGTCTATATGGAAAGTGATGATGGTGTCCGGCCCATCGTGAGCTCTCCCTGGCTCCCAATGGAACTCCTTTATTTATCTCGTGTCACTGTTGGATCTGGGAGATCTGGAATGTTAGTGTGCACTTGGTCTGATAATCAGCTGTGGAAGAAACCAGGGAAGGACAGAGGTTGGAGCTCCATTCCTCTGCTCTTCTTCCCTGTGGGCTACTTCTCGCTCCTGTTTGGAGAAGTGAGGCGCACAGCCTGAGGGCCTGGGCACTGCACTCTCTATGTTCGAGTTGCACGAGCTGGAATCCCAGCTTTGCTACTTAGTGCTGTGTAACCTTGGCTGAGTGACTTTTTCTCTCTGGCCTCAGCCTTCTCATCTGGACAGTGGGGTGACAGGAGTGTGACCTCAGGGTGAGGAGTCCATGAGTCACTACCTGCAGGATGGCAGGGCTGAGGTTGGTGTACAGCAGAGATTCTCACACGCTCCTGCCTCAGGACCCTTCTCCCAGTTACCAAGACCCTCTGAGAGCCAGGCGTGGTGGTGCACACCTGCAATCCCAGCACTCGAGAGGCTGAGGCAGGAGAATGCTGTGAATTTGTGGCTAATCTGGACTACATAAGTGAGTTCAAGGCCAGCCTGAATTACATAGTGAAACTCTGTCTCAAAAAGACAAAAATAAAAAATAAAAAATAAATTTAAATGAACAATAATAAATCTCTTCTGTGTAGGGGGCTGAGGATTTAGCTCAGCGGCATAAGCACCTGCCTTGCAAGCAGGCAGTCATGAGTTCGATCCCCAGTACCGATAAAAAGGAAAAAGACAAAAAAAAAAAATCTCTTCTGTGTGGATATAAATGACATGTTCTGTTTGGTTTTGAGAAGAGATCCTATTATGTTGCCCAGGCTGATCTTGAGCTCCAACCCTCCTGCCTCAGTCTCCTGAGTTGCTGGGAAAACAGGCACATACAGCTAGTCCTGGCTTAATGTAAATGCCATTTTAAGTGGAAAAAGCCCTCTATTTGCCAAAGAAGACCGTGTATAACAATTGCAGCTATGAAGTTACAAAGTCTGTTTAGATTGTGTTGAGTCTGACTGAGCAGATGCCTGGGTTCTTGGATTAGTTCCCCTCAGGCTTCTGTGAGCAGTTGCTGTGGAGGACAGGAGGAGGGAAATCCTGCCTCACACAGACACATGACTGAGGCAGCGGGGATGACTTTTAAGAAGTTTCAGATAATTGTGACTACCTTTCTTTGATACTGCACCAAAACAATGTGCAGGTTTTTTTTAAAGCTAAATATTATTCTGATATAATTTTACCTTCCAGAGGTGTTCCAGAGATAGGAAGGGGCTGCTGTGTAGCCTCTGCTTATCTCCCCTTTAGTGGGTGTTTCTAACCGTGGTACCAAGGTCAAAGCCGAGAAATTAACATTGACAGCAAGTGATTAGTGAGACTTTGAATTGTACCAACCTGCTAATGTCTCTGTTCTAACTGGAGGTCCATGTTGCGTTGAGTGTCCAGTCTCCCGTCTGTGGCAGTCTCTCGGGCTTCTCTGGGTTCTCATGTCCTTGACACCTTTTCTGAGGTCAGAGTCTCGCTATGTGGCCCATACTAGCCTCCTGTTCCTGGGCTCAAGCAGTTCTTCTGCTTCGGCTTTCTGGGTACTGGGCACTACAGGTGTGTGTCGTCACAATCAGCCCCTTGTCACTTTTTTTTTTGTATTGGGGTTCCAATGCATGACCTTGCACTTACGCACTGAGCTAAATCCCCCGCCCCACTTGTCACTTTTAAAGAGAGTAGTTTTGTGTTGTTGTTGTTTTGTTTTCATGGTTGTTTTTGCAACGCTGGGGTTTAATCCAGCACCTTTGCAGTGGGTGACACTGGGTGGTTTTTTGGCTTTGTTTTGTTTGTTTGTTTGTTTGTTTGTTTGTTTTTTGAGACAGGGTCTTACTAAGCTGCCCAGGGTGAGTGAGTTTGAACTTGTTTTCTCCGGCCTCAGCCTCGCACTGTGCTGAGTTTACAGGTGTGCACCGCCACACCCTGCCAAAGAAGGTAACTTCTGAAAGGCCCTTTGCAGTGGGGATCAGAATCCTGTGAATGAGTGGTGTGGCGTTTGCTGGCCAGGTCGGGTTAGGCACAGCACTTTGCTTGGGGACTTCTACAAGGGCAAGACAGCAAACCTCACCTCCCGGCCCTGCTGTGGAGACCCGGTGACACATCAGCGGACCTTCTACGGCCTTCGCAGTAGTAAACAGCAAATACCCTGTCCTGCTTGCTTCCCATAGATCACTTATTTAACCTCACACTCATCTTAAGCCAGAGGTACTATCATTACTCCCATTCTACAAAAGATAAACTGAGGCTCATAGAGGTGAAGAATCTTGCTCAAGGTCACACAACCCAGAAATTGAATGCAGATAGAACCCACGATTGATGTTTTAAAGCTTTTAATTTTGTACCAATTTTTTTTCTTTTACAGAGCAGTGATGATAGTTGTTTCTTCTTCCTCCTCTTCTTCCTCCTCTTCCTCTTCTTTTCTTCTTCTTCTTCTTCTTCTTCTTCTTCTTCTTCTTCTTCTTCTTCTTCTTCTTCTTCTTCCTCTTCTTCTTCTTCTTCTGGTTGAAGGAGTAAGGGAAAAATTGGCTTTGCAGAGCCAATTTGAGCCAAACAAGAGAACAGATAAGACCAAAAATAAAAGGACACTGGTCTAGAAGATGCAGAAGTCATGCCAGCCAGTTGACACTTGTCACAAGTTTATTTTGGTTGTCGTAGTAAACATTGCACTTAGAGTTCTTTTAAATCTACTCTGATTAGCGTGTAGTTTTAGCCGAAACATGGTTCTGTGTACATCTTTATGGGATACATTAGGAGACTCAGCACAGGTACACAATGCATAGGAGTCAAATCAGGATAATAAGGACTTCCATCTCTTCCAACATTAACCATTTTTACATGTGGGAGATTTGTGTTAGTTTTAGAATTAACGGAAGAGTTCCAAAAATATTATAGAGAATTCTTATCTGCGCTTCTCTCGGTTTCATTTAATCCCAGCATCTTACATATAGGCCAGAAATCTAGGAAGGTGCGGGGCTGTGCAGCTGTTGCCCAGCTACTGAAGAGGCTGAGGCGGGAGGATTGCCGGAGTTAGAGTCATCCTGGGCGACATAGTGAGGTCTGTCTAAAAACAACATGAGGAAATCAATGTTGTTGCAGTATTATTGATTAAACTACAGACCTCAGTCATATTTTACCAGTATTTCCACAGATGTCTGCTTTTTTTGTCTTTGTTTTGTTTTGTGGTACTCTGCACTGAGCTACATCCCCAGCTCTTTAAGTTTTTAATTTTGAGACAAGGTCTTGCTAAGTCACTAAGATGCCCTGGCTGAGCCAAACTTGGAATCCTCCTGCCTCATCTTTTTCTTTTGCAGGATCCAACCCAGGATCTCATGTTGCATTTAGTGGCTGTCTCCTTGGTGTCCTACCCCTGTTACTTTTGAACTCTCTATCTTTTGTGGTCTTGTTGTTTTTGAGTACTGGTCATTTATTTTGCCAGATGTGGGGTTTGTCAGGCCTCACTGGAGATTTGTCCAATATTGTCTCATGACTGGCATTAAGTTCTGTGTTTTGGGCAGGCAGTCATAGACGTGATGTGTGTTGTTCCCAGGATGACAGCAGAAGGTCCAGCCTGACTGTGGATTGTGGCTGCTCCTGGCGCTGGGGTCCTTGATCGGCTGGCTCAGGAGGTGCCTGCTGGCTTCCTCCATTCTGAAGTTACAATTCTACCCTTTGTGGGTTAATAAGCAGCTGGAGAAGATTGCTCAGAACTACTAAATCCTTGGAATGTTTGCCCACTAGTTTTTGTATATAATAATTGTACACAAGAGTAGATCCTGTCTACAATAATTATTAGAGTGGTGTTAGATTGTGATATTCTAATTTTCTCTGCATCTTTTATATATTTAATTAAAATTTTAATGTAAGGAAGAGCTATCCTTTCCTACTCCATCCATGATATAATCACTAAGTAAAACTCCCATACTGATATTATTTATTCTGCAGCTCATAAAGCCCAGGTATGAGCTCTAGGACTTTCTTCAGATTGGTTTCCATAGTCTTTCATCAAGCTCACGGAGTTTGGAGTACTTCCTTCCTTCCTGACACCATAAATTAGGTTCTGCCCCAGTCCTAGAATCGCTTATTTCTCCGTTTAGTCTGAGTTCCTTCATTGGATAACAGGCTTTGTTTTTTGTTTGCTTCTTTTTGCTTGTGGTTTGCTTTGTCTTGTTTTGAGACAGGGTCTTGCTCTGCAGTCTCGGCTGGCCTTGAACTCACTATGTAGCCCAGGCTGGCTTCAGACTTGCAGCAATCCTTAAGCCCGACTGAGTCTTTAGAAACCAAGATCTGAGCGCTCCAAAGCACTTTGCTAGTGGGCGATGAGTGTGCGGATTTCTCTCAACACAGAGGAGGGCGATGGCCTGCGTACCAGGAGGCCAGGCTGATACCCCCGATTTCATCACCCCGGGTTTATGTTACCTTCCACTTCCCTGCTTGCTTTTCTTTCTTTATTAGTTTGTGCTTATGACCCACATAATTGTCTCAGGGGACTGGCACATGACGTCGGTATCTTTTTTTTTTTTTTTTTTTTTTTTTTGTATTTTTCCTTTTTATCGGTACCGGGGATCGAACTCACGACTGCCTGCTTGCAAGGCAGGCGTTTATGGCGCTGAGCTAAACCCCCAGCCCCGGTCTGTATCATTTTTACCGCCTCCTCCCTCCTCACCCATAAGCTTTCTTCACCCCTGCTGCGCCCTCCCTCCTTGCCCAGCCCCTGTGCTGGCCTTGCACCTGAGCCTCCAGCCCACAGTGCTCTGTGTGTTCAGGCCTGGGGGGTGAGGGGCAGCCAGGGCTCTTGTTTCCCACGGCGATCTGTCGCCCTCAGTCCCCGAGGCGGCCTGCATTGCTCACTTTTATACGGTTGGTCCCCGTGTCAGTGTTCATATTCTGCTCCGGTCCCCCCCCACCCCCCACCCCGCTCTGGGCTTTCCTTTGGGAGCGGATGAGGGAATTCAAGCATGACCGTGACTCTGGGAGCCTGCACTAACAGAGACTTCCTCTGAGCGGGGTCTCTCCTCATCGCAGCTGTCCACTCCTGTCCCACTGCCCTCCTACGGTCTCCCCACCGTGCTGGCTTGTGACCCTTCGCTTTCCTTCCCGCCGTGTTCATTTTGCATTTCTTTTGTGCAAATGAATATTCGTCTGAATATTTCCTTTTCCCTTCTTTTTCCTTCCCTTCCCTTCCCCTTCTTCTTGCTTTTTTTCTTTCATAGTATTAAGGATTGAACCTGGGGATTATATCCTTTGCACTGAATTGCATCCATAGTCCCTTGAAAAAATGTTTTTGAACCAGAAATTGACTTCAGGAGCTCTCACTTGCCAGGCAGGCACTGTGCTGCTAAGCTATATCCCCGGCCTTCTTTTTATAATTTTGAGACAGTGTCTTGTTAACACACTAAGTTGTCCAGGCTGGGCACAAACTTGCAGTCCTCCTGCCTCAGCCTCCCAGAGTTCTGGGATGCCTACTTGCTTATATTTCTTGTGTTAAAGATAGTGCTTTGCTGCTTTTTTCCACCCAGCACTGGAGTGGAACCCAGGGCCTCTTGCATGTTAGACAGCACCGAGCTATATCCCCAACTGTTGTTTTTTTGTTTTTTTGTTTTTTTTTTTTTTGAGACAGGATTTTGTTAAGTTTCCCAGGCTGGGCTTGAACTTGTGACCCTCCTGCCTCAGCCTCCCAGAGGGCTGGGATTACAGAGTATAATCCCCCTGCCCAGGCACTCTGCTTTCTTTTGATTTAACAGTATGTCCTGAAAATCAGTGTAGCAATTCCTAGACTTGTCTTCATTCATTTTTATGCCCTTGTGTGGATGATACTCACTCACTTTTCTATATTTGGGCATTTAGGGTTTTTTCCAGAATTTTGCAATTACAATCAGGGCTACCATGAATATCTTTGTGCATCTGTGTTTTCATATTGCTGGAGAAAGCACCCAGCCCTTAACAGTATGCAGTACCCCATAGTTTTTGCTTCCAGTACTGAGAATTGAACCCAGGGCCTTCACATCGAGCTGCATCCCCAGCCCTGTTTTTATTTTTTTCAAAACAATTTTTTTTTCGTCTTTTTCGGTACCAGGGATCGAACTCACGACTGCCTGCTTGCAAGGCAGGCGCTTATGCCGCTGAGCTAAATCCCCAGCCCCTTTCAAAAATTTTTTGCAGCATAGTCTATCTCACTGATGTTTAGAGTTTATTTATTTACTTTTTATTTTGGTTTGGTTTTTTGAGACAAGGTCTCGCTATGTAACCCAGGCTGGTCTCAAACTCATGGTGATCCTCCCGCCTCAGCCTCCCAATTGCTGGGATTATAGGTGTGCACTACTATGCCCAGGTACTTTGGCTTTAGTTTTTATTTTGAGACAGGGTCTTTCCCATTCTGTGCTCCAACTTGTGATTCTCCTGCCTTTGCCTCCCAGGGTGCTGGGATGACAGGCATCTGCCAAAATGTGGCATTTTTGAAAGCCTCAGTTGCTACCAATAATGAGCCATAATTTAAAACTCTGGCTGTGTGTGTCTAGCTACAGTATACGTGCTCCTGGGATATAAGAAACCACTGTGTGAAGATTTACCCTGGAAATCAATAGGTTTGGTGGCACCAGACCAATTTTCTGCCTGGCGCCTGTCTCCAGAGCTGAAGGGTGACTGTCCCTTTTACATGGTGTGGATTCCTCACGCTCTAGACTTCTAGACTCAGCACAGTGACCTTTGTCACTGCTGGTACTACCAGGCTGGCCTCCAGGACTCACACTGGCATCCCTTGAATGGCATCATGTGTTTGGAGTATTGACACAAGGCTTGCACACAGTCAAGAGCAGTGGTAACCACATTGGCTCACCCCCATACCTCAACCATAATAAGAATTGTGAGTTACTATCGGGCGGCTCTGCTGTCCACTGGGAACTGTTCCAAGACCCTGCAGAGCTCCTAAGGCCTGCATATGCCTGAGTCTTGTATAAAATGGCACAGTATCTGCACATGACCAGTGCACACCCTCCTGTGTAATTTAATGACCTCTGGATTACCTACAATACCCAGCACAATGCAGATGTTATGTAAGCATTTGCTTGACTGACTGTGTCTTTTTGTTTTGTGTTGTTGCAATACTGGGACTGAACCCAGGGCATTCAGAATGAGCTACGTTTTCAGTCCTCCCCCACTTTTTAAAAAATTTATTATGAGACTAGGTCTCACCAAGTTGCCGAATTTTTCGGACTGGGCTCAAGTTTGGAATCTTCTTGACTCTCTGGCAGAGTGCTGCGATTACAGGCATGTGCCCCCTTGGCTTATACTGTGCTTTTTTAGGGACCAACCACAAGAAAAAAAATGTCTATATGTATTCAGTACTGATACAATTATTTTTCTGAATATTGTTAGTCCACAAGGATGTGGAACCCAAAGATACAATGGGTTGATTATATACGTACCCGTCTAATTTCATAACAACCTTCTAGACTAGAAGATACTATTATCCCATTTTATAGATAGGAAAGTGGAGGCAAGGGAGGTCAAGTAACTAAGAAAGCGCAGCTTGGAAATAGAGATGCTGGGATTGAATTTGGGCAGCTCCGGAGCTCGTGTCCTTAACCATTAAGAGTTAAGGATCGCTGTTGTTGTCCCTGGCCTCCTGTCCAAACCCTCCCTGTCTCTTTCGCCCCAGGTGAGCCAGGCTCCATGACTGTGACCTGGACTACATGGGTTCCAGCCCGCTCAGAAGTGCAGTTCGGGATGCAGCTGTCCGGGCCGCTGCCCCTCCGGGCGCAGGGCACCCACACCCCCTTCGTGGACGGGGGCGTCCAGCGGCGCAAGCTCTACATCCATCGGGTGACGCTGCGGAAGCTGCTGCCTGGGGTCCAATACGGTGAGCACCAGGCTGGGGGCTCCTGGGGAGGCCCCCGGCTTCCCTGGCCGAGGCCCCACTAGGCTGATCCTTCAGCTGCCCGCTCCTGCCCGGGTCCAGGGTAGTGGGAGGTAGAAAGATCTGGAGACCGAGCGGGGCTCTCGGGGCCTTCTCCCCTCCACTGACTGTGGCCTGTCTTCTTCCTCAGTTTACCGTTGTGGCAGCGCCCAAGGCTGGAGTCATCGGTTCCGCTTCAAGGCCTTGAAGAAGGGGGTTCATTGGAGCCCCCGGCTGGCAGTGTTCGGGGACATGGGGGCTGACAACGCAAAGGCCCTCCCGCGGCTGCGCAGGGACACGCAGCAGGGCATGTACGATGCCATTCTCCATGTGGGTGAGGCATCGGCTCCGTGGGCAGGGCTTGCGGGGCTCCCAGCCAGGACAGGAATCTATGGGGGGCTCTGCAGGGACAGGCAATGAGACTGACCAGAGATGGGCTGTCTGGTTCCCCAGACTGCCAGGAGGAAATTGCTGCTCCCAAGCCACAGTGGTGGCACAGGTCTGTAATCTCAGCACTTTGGGAGGCTGAGGCAGGAGCATTGCAAATTGAAGCCCAGCCTGGGTAATTTAGTGACTTATTGAAAGCCTATCTTGATAATAAATAAAAAGGACTGGGGATATAGCTCAGTGAGAAGGCCCTGGGTTCCATCCACAGCACCAAAAACAGATAAAAATAAAGCCTGCTCCGGCCCTCACAGCTGTGGGCACTGATTTCCCTGGGTATTACTACCTGCTTCCGTTACTGTTAGAGGTAAGGTTAGTCTTTGCAGGGCTGTGGTGATGACTGAGTACTTACACATTAGTTCCACTGTTCCTGCTGCCACCGTTATGGAGGGGTCAAAGAATGGGATACAGGAGGCGAGGAGCCCTCATCTGTGTGTGGGCTCAGGCTCTCTGGGTTTGATTCCTGGGTCTTCATTCACCAGCTCTGTGACTCCAGGCCTCAGTTTCTCCTTCTGGGATGGGGATGACTTACTGGCCTCCTCCAACGGTGCTTTGGAGCTGGCACAGACAGAACCTTTGGAGCTGTGCCTGGTACGAACACAGCACTGAGCTGCAAGTTGTGGTTGATCTGGGAGGGGGCGCCAGGCAGACAGAGATGGGCACTGGTGTGACAGAGCGCAGCAGACGGCACCATCCTGGGTGGACGGGGCCCAGAGGCTCAGAGCACATGCGGATGGTGTGAGGCGGGATTGCGGATGCCCCGAGCTGCCAGGTCCCTCCACCCTGGTGAGAGCAGAGCTGGGTCAGGCCTCACCCTCTCCTTGTCCCCCAGGAGACTTCGCCTACAACATGGATCAGGACAATGCCCGAGTTGGGGACAGATTCATGCAGCTCATTGAGCCCGTGGCTGCCAGCCTGCCCTACATGACGTGCCCCGGAAATCACGAGCAGCGCTAGTGAGGACGAGGGTGCGGGCTGCGGGCGGAGGGCTGGGCCTCTCAGACTCACCGTGGGGAGAGGCAATGAGACGACCAGAGATGGGCTGTCTGGTTGCGCTGCGCTGCCTCTGCAGCAGCAGGAGGAGAAGCCAGGGTGGCCTGGGAGCCGGTCCGTGACAGTGGGGCCTGGAGCAGAGCTGCAGCGTGCAGGCCTTCACCGCTGCCCCTCTCTTCCTTTTCCAGCAACTTCTCTAACTACAAGGCTCGCTTCAGCATGCCAGGGGACAATGAAGGCTTGTGGTACAGGTAACCCGGGGTGCTGGCCTTGCTGCCTGCAAGGATGGGGATGCAGAGGAGACTCTGCCTCTGACCCCTGCCCCAACTTTGACCTCTCCAGCTGGGATCTGGGTCCAGCCCACATCATCTCCTTCTCCACCGAGGTCTATTTCTTTCTCCAATACGGCCGCCACCTGGTTCAGAAACAGTTTCGTTGGCTGGAAAATGACCTCCAGGTAGGCTGATGGGGAGTCCCATTCCACCCCACACCCCTGATCCCATCGACAGCCCTCACTCTGGGCCCTCCTCTCTAGAAGGCCAATAAGAACCGGGCAGCGCGGCCGTGGATAATCACCATGGGTCACCGGCCCATGTACTGTTCCAACGCCGACCTGGATGACTGCACAATGTATGAGAGCAAGGTGAGCCTCCCATCCCCGGGGTGCTGAGAGGCGGGCCGGGGTCAGCCTGAGCCACCCCTCACCTCCTGCCACCTCCCACCAGGTCCGCAGAGGCCTCAGAGGCAAGTATGGGCTGGAGGATCTTTTCTACAAGCATGGTGAGTGACCCAAGAGACTCCCCGGCCCCGTACTCTGCCCCTCCCCGTGTGGGGCCTGACTCCCACTTTCTGTGTGGCAGGGGTGGACCTGGAGCTGTGGGCTCATGAGCACTCGTATGAACGGCTGTGGCCCATTTACAACTATGAGGTGAGGCGCGTGGAGGGTGGGGCCCGTGGGGCTGATGTCAGTGTGGCTTGTGTGAGGTGCTCACCCCGTTGCTCCCTGCTCCAGGTATTTAATGGGAGCCTCCACCAGCCCTACACCCGCCCTCGAGGTCCTGTCCACATCATCACGGGATCTGCGGTGAGCTGGGCGGGCAAGGAGGGGCAGCCTTTGCTCCTCCCCTCTGACTCCTGAGGGCTGATCTTGTACCAACCTGGGTATCTTTATACACTGGATATCACCTCCTCTCAGCCTAAAACTGGTACTGCTGGTCGCGTGGCCATCTAACAGGGTAGGGCAACAGGGATCACTGTGTACTCAAAAAGTCACTGGAGCTTATTTTTCATTACCTGTTTTGGAGGAGCCAGGCACACCTATAATCCCAGCTACACAGGAGGCTGAATCAGGAGGATCACAAGTTCAAGACCAGCCTGGGAAACTTAGCGGGCCCTGCTTCAAAATGAAAAATCAAAAACATTTTAAAAGGGAGGACCTGGCAGATAATTCAGTGGCAAGTTTAGGCTCAATCCCCAGTAGGGAGGTAGTCTTGGGGAAAATACTTTTAGACCATCCAAAAGTGTAATGAGTTTTTTTTTTTTTCTCTTCATTCTTCCCAGATTTATTAATTGGGGTCCTCCTCACAAAGAAGAGTTATTTCCCTGCCTCATTCTCGTAGCTGGTTAATGCATTATGTCAGCATGGACTCAGGAGTAATTTATTTTGTTTATTGTATCTGTGGATTATGTTCCCATCCTCTTGTTATTTCCTTGGATGCTGAAACTGTTCAGCTCTGGCCACAGGGAGCTTTCACATGGGTTCCTGTCTGCTTCTGACCCCAGTCCCAGCGTCCTCTGCTCCTGTCCTTCCTCACTGCATGGGTGGCCCGGGAGCCCTTAGGGTCATCTTATGATTTCCCTGCTTGGTCCTGGATTCAGCTATTTTCTCACTCATAAAGTTCAAACAGCCAGAGGGCAGGAGGCGAGCACCACCCCCTCAGCCCTGCCCTGACCTGCTGGTGTCTCTTGGCTGGTGTTTACAAGGTTTTCTGTACGTACTAACGAGCAGTCGTCTAGACAAAGAGGTGGTATGGATCGCCCACTCTTTAGGCTTCATACCTCCAGGGGCTCTCATCCTCTGTGTTTGGGAGGATTACTTGGGAGCTTTTATTTATCTATTTATGTCTTTTTAAGACAAAGTCTTGCTATGCAATTCAGGCTGACTTTGAACTCAATATATAGCACAGACTGGCCTCAAACTCACAGTGACCCTCCTGTCTCAGCCTCTCTAGTGCTGGGGTTACACGCATGTGACACCATGCCTGGTCAACCCCATGGCTGGACCCCATCCTGGATCCTGCAGTCTCTGAGGGCAGGACCCAGCATCACCACCTGGGCCGGCCACGAGGCGGAGCTCCTGATGGCCCGGCCTCCCCAGCTCCATGCCGAGCTGATGGCCCTTCGCGCCTTGCTCAGCGTGGACTGGATTTTTCTTTCATTTCTAATTTTGAAGTCATCTCAAACTTACAGGAAAACTGCAAAAATAACACAAAGATGTTCCTTTTGCCCTTCACCATGATTTCCCAAATTTAAACACTTAAACACATTTGTTTTCATCTCTTTCCATCTCCATTTTATCATATTTTCAGATCCAATCAAGAGTAAATTGTAAACATGATGTCCTTTACCCCTCTGTATTTCTTCTTCTTCAAAAATAAGCTTGCACATCACTGCAGAATAATGATCAAATTCAAGGAGTTGGCACTGCTAACTGTTATCTAATCTACAGACCTCATTCAAATTGGTGAGCACCCTATTAGCACCCTTTAAATCAAAGCAGAGACCTCACCCGCCCCCAGCCCAAGATCTAGTCTGTGATCTGTGATCGTTCTTTTGCTTCCTTTGATCAGAAAAGTTGCTGGTCCTCTCTCTCTCTCTCTCTCTGTTTTTCATGACCTTGACAATTTTGAAGAGTTCCTGCCAAGTCTTTCTGTAGCAGTTCTCCTGGTCTGGGTTTGTCTGATATTTGCTTGCCACCGGATGGAAATTGTATACTTCTGGTTACAAAACTCAAACTGTGTCCTTGTGCATCCATCCGGAGGCTTAGGATGCCTCTTGACTTCTCTGAGTTTCCTGTTGCCCAGCTCCAAGTCAGGGTGGCGTTAGGTCACTTGCTAAGGTAGTCAGGCCTTACTCTTGTTTTCCTCTGTAATTAATAAGCAATTAAGAAGAGACATACTTTGAAACTGTGCACACATCTTGTGATTTCTCAAATTTTCCCCACTGCTCTTTTCCTCGTGGATGAAATCCTGGGCAAGCCTCAATCACTTGTGACAGTGCTGGGGGAAATTTGGTGAATTTCTTTTTCTGTGGTACCCAGGATTAACCCAAGACCTTCACACTGAGCCGCACCCTCAGCCTCTATTTTATTTTTTATTTTGAAGCAGGGTTTCCCTCAGTCACCCAGTTGCCCAGCTAGACTCGAATTTGTAACCCTCCGGCCTCAGCCCCTCAGAGGTGCTAGAATTATATATATAGGCCTGTGCTACCTACCAAGCCTGACTTCAAACTCTTTCTTTGATTTGTCTGCCATGCAGCTGGAGCTGAGACTCAGTGATTCTGTCTGTTCTCTGTATTCACGTTTTGCCCTTTGAACCATTTGACCATCTTTCTGATTCACCCTGCTTAGTGATGGCTCTGCCATAATTTATTCGCCTGATTCCCTCAGTGGGCATTTCAGAGGCCTCTAGGTCAGGGCTTTTACTGAAAGGCCTGTAGCAGACAATCTTATACAGCCCTGCACTTTTCTAGAAGCCTACAGGCTCAGCTGTGAGCATTCTTGTGGCCAAGTCTTATCCAATGTCTTTTTTGTTTTCTAGTACTAAGGATTAAACCCAGGGCCTTCCCCCAGAGCTACATTCCCAGACCTTTTCATTTCTTATATTGAGACAAGCTCTTGCTAAGGCTGTGATCCTCCTGACTCAGCCTTCCAGAGTGTGAGGATTACAGTGTGCACCACCAAACCCAGCTGAATTTGTCTTTCTGGGGGGCAGCAATGGCCAGACTGGGAAGTCTTTTCTGCTTACTTTGGGTCCCAACCAATCCAGCCCCCGGCTCTGGGCTCTGACCGAGTCTCCCCGCAGGGCTGTGAGGAACGTCTGACTCCCTTTGTCATCAAGCCGAGGCCCTGGAGCGCGGTGCGCGTTAAGGAGTATGGGTACACACGGATGCACATCCTCAACGGGACCCACCTTCACATCCAGCAAGTGTCTGATGACCAGGTTAGTGGGGGCCAGGCCCAGTGTGTTCTGGAGCTGAGTGGTCCAAACTTTCTTGGAATCAAACATAAATAATAAAACCTGGGACTGTAGGGTTAGAAATCCTTGTTCAGATCCTGCTGCCTCTGGTCTGTACCTACCTGAGCTGCATGACCTTGAGCAACTCATCTGACCTCTTTGAGCCTCGGTTTTCCCGTCTATGAAATGGGGGTGATAATAGTTTCTACCTCACAGAATTACATAGGCCTTGGATAATTTATGAAGTGTGATCAAAAATATGATGAATGTTTAATGGGTTTTATTACATTTGTCATGGTTTTCTTTTCTTTCTTTCTGGTCTTTTTGAGACAAGGTTTCACTATGCAGTTCAGACTGGTCTTGAACTCACTTTGTGACCCTGGCTGGCTCACAGTGATCCTCCTGCCTCAGCCTTCTGAGTGCTGGGATTAGAGATATGTGCCACCATGCCTAGTTTGTTTATTGTTTTTAATGTATTACAATACAAGATACATTGCCACTAATTCCTCTAAAAATACTTCTTTAGGTTGACCACATTTATCCCATCATTCTTTTTATTCTGGTTTTTTGAGATGAAGTTTCATTATAAAGTTCAAGCTGGCCTTAAACTCATGGTGATCTTTCTGCCTCAGCCTCCCGGGCACTGGAGTTACAGGCATGTACCACCACAGCCGACTAGTAATTTTTTCTTTACTTAAACACACATCTTGCTTCTGGGCCACCCCATGTGTATACGCAGGGCTCAGCACAGTGCACCAGTGCCAGGCTCAGCACATCTTTCTCCTGGCAGGCAGGAGAGGGAGAAGGGGGTGACAAGCAGGGGCCGGGCAATATGACTCATGTGGCATGGCAGGGACACAGGCTTGGATGGAGCCCAGGGATGACCGGCTCACTCTTCTTTGTGGTTTTAAAATAATGAGAACATTTTGATTTATTAAGTGCTTCTGTGTCCCGGCACTAGCTGAGAGCTTTAGACACCACCACAACCCCAGAGCGCTGGATTTCACAGGGGAGAGAGCTGAAGCTCAGAGAAGGGAAGTAACTGTCCCAAGGTCACACAGCTGAAGGGTGGCAGAGCTGGATCTGAGCTTAAAGACTGTTTCCCGTATAGGGCCCTGCCGCTTACTGAGAGCCACACCGTGCCCAGCCTTCCCTGGGCACACCCTCGAGCTGTTCCCAGAAGAGGGCCTGAACCGTTGTTTTTCTCTCCTGTCCCCATTGTGTATAACATGGTGCCAGAGCTCAGGGAGTCATGTGCTCAAGACCACAGATGGTTTAAGTCCTGGAACCCAAGCCAGGAATATGTGCTTTTAATGATAATAGCCCACGCTTAGCATCTCACCATGTGCTGGGCTCACCTTTAAACCCTGGGATTAAACATCTCATTGAATTCTCACATCTGTGATACTATTATTATCATCTCTACTTTTCAAATAAGGAAAACCGGCTCAGAGAGGGTTAGCAACTTGCCCAACATCACACAGCAGAGATGGGATTTGAACCCACATCACTTATATCCAGCATCTGAGCTTTCAGCCCTTACTGCCTTCCCTGTTTTTATTCCTCACAGGATGGGAAGATTGTAGATGACTTCTGGTTGGTGAGACCTCTGCACGGCCGGATGATGTACCACTAGGCATGCAGGCTGCTTTCGTCAGGATCTCGGCCTTGCTGCCTTGGCTGGTGCAACAGGACATTCATTGGTCAGGGCAGGCCCAACGACTCTGCCCTCCAGAGATCCCATGTGGGCTGCATGCAGCTTGAGGGAGGGCAGCTCTCTCTCCTCCGGACACATGGGAGTCCTAGCTGGCTGTGGAGGGAGGGCAGGTATGCAGGCTCCCGGGCCAGCACGACACACCCTCCTCCTAGCACTGACCGGGCTGGGTACTCAAGTGCCTCAGAATAAAGAGGCTTACAGCTGTGCCCCTGTGCACTCCCACCTCTGCTGGCCATGCCTCGAGCTGCCCCCGCTACTCGGTGCCCACCCAGTGTGGGGCATCGCCAGCTGCAAGGCAGCAGTGTGGGCTCAGCCGTCATGCACTTGCTTCCCAGCAGGTGGCGCCAGCAACCTTTTCGTCCCGTCTTGCCCCTCTGTCACTCAAACCTGGCACCCACCTCTGCGGGCCGGGCCGGGAAGTGCTACCCAATGTCCTTCTGCACCTCAGTTTCTCAGCCAGTGCTCCCTTTTGTGGGAAGAGGGGGGATAAGGAGGGGACACAATAACATTTCCGGATTCTGGCTGGGGACCAAGGGGTCTCAGGAGCTCTCAGACCTGTCAATTTCTTCCCTTTTCTTCTTTTTATTTATTCAACCACGATTTATTGAACATCTGTTTGTGCCAGGCTGGGTTCTCAGTTCTAAGAAGCCAGCCCTGAACAAGACACCTCACTGTCTTCATGGAGTAAAAACATTGCAACCTGGGAATTGGACAGGAAGAGCCTTAAATAAGGAGGTTATGGGGCTGATGAACTCAGCAAAGGCGGGCAAGAGAGAGAGAGAGACAGAGACAGAGAGAGACAGAGAAGGGTTAGTTTTCTGTGGAGACAGAGATGAAGGTGGAGACAGGTGGGCCGATGCCTGAGGGAGGAACTGTACAAAGCTCTGGGATGAGGCAAGGCTGACCTTTGGAACACTGGCCCGGAGGCTAATGCTGCAGGAGCAGAGGGACTTGGGGGTGGGGCACCTTGTGGGCCCCAGCGAGGGCTTTGGGTGGAGCCACTGGGCAGCCTTGAGCAGAGGAGGAATTCCTGATTGATCCAGTGGTCGGATTCCAGCAGTGTCCGGTGTGGGCTGCCTGCCCTGGGTTCCCAGCCCTGTGGACACCTCCCCGCTCTCCCTCCTTTGTGCTGGACAGCTCCGGGCTCTTCCAGTCTTAATCTGAGCTCCCTCACCCTGGCCTCCAGGGTGTTTCTGGAACACGCCAAGCGCCTGGCCACTGTGGATACACACCTTTGGCCCCAGTGTCCCCCTTTGAGCCTCACGGTGACCTCAGCTGACACAGGCCTCTCCACTCCATGTCCCTTCTTCTTCACAATTCACGGTGCCCTCTTAGATTTCATTTATTCCCTGTCCCTCTTGCTCCTGGGCTGGGGGTCTCTGACCAGGGACTTTTTGTTCACAGACAAGCGCCTCCTGGGCCACTTGTCAGGCCAGGTGACAGCTCACTGGAGGGCTGGTGAGAGCTGCACCCAATATAACCCAGCTCCTCTGGTCACTTAATATTTGTTGCCTAGATGAAGGTGACCACAGGCCAGGCGACACTGGGGGTCATGTCCTGTGGAGTTTGCAGGTGGCCCACCCAACCCAGGTTGCCCACTGTGAGGGAAGGCCACGGAGGAGCAGGCTGGGGCCTTGAGGTCACAAGCCAGAGTCACTTCGGGTGGGTGCACCGTGGTCTGTCACGTTGCCCCCAGGCTGGGGTGGGATCCACAGAATGTGAAGACGGCCCAGCTCTGCCCTCCCTGTGGAACCCCTCCTGTGAGTCCCATGTCCTCATGTGAGTGGTAATACTTTGTGCATTGTCTCGGGATTAAACCACCTTGGAAACCTTGTTATTTCTTTGACTCTTTTTCTCTCTGTCCCACAGCCAATCAGCTGGTAAGTTTGGTGTGCCAGGCTTATACAGTCTACCGGGAACCCCTCTACCTTGCTCTCACAAGCCCTGTCCTGGTCCTGTCATGCTGCCCCCACCCGGCTTGGTCCCCCGCCCCCTCCCTGTGTGACACTCTGCTCCCCACACACAGCTGCTCAGGGCCTCTGTGGCCGCTGAGCCCCGGCTCCTCCCCGCCCTCATCCCTTATCCCCTCCTGTACCCCTTGCTCACATACAAGCCTCTGTATCACACACCCTGCTTTGTACCGCTGGGCCCTGGTCCAGCACTCCGGGAAGCTGAGGCAGGAGGATTGCAAATTCAAGCCCTATACAAGTAATTTAGTGACTTAGTGAGACTCCGTCTCAGAATGAAAAAGCAAATCGAAGCAAACAGGCCTGGGGAGTGTGTGGCTCAGTGTAAAAGTCCTGGTTCGATCCACAGTACCAGGGAAAGAGAGAGAGAGAGAGAGTTTCTGACGGAGAGAGAAGCCTGTCTCCGAGCACTTCTTGTCCCTCTTCCATGACTTATTGTTTTTTTCTAGAACACTTAGATCTTGTGAGTGCCTGTGCAGAGATATGTTTACTTTATTTATTTAGTCTTTGTCTGTTCCATCAGAAGAGGAGCTCCCCAGACCACAGGGGCTGTTCACAGATCTGCTTCCCTGGCCCCAGGGTCCCTGGGCCCCTGGCAGTCGGGTCTCTGGGTCCCTGGCTGGCAGTAGGCAGCACCTGGGTGATCAGCGACCCTGGGTGGCTAACAGAGGAAGTAGGAAACGCAGCCACAAGGCCAACAAGGTGCAGTCCCTGGCTGTGGGCCCACCGAAGAATGACGGTGATTTAGGTGAATCAGATAAGGTCCGGCCCTTGGGAGCTCCACAGCTGGGCACGAGGGAGGCAAGCATGCAGAGCCAGTGCCACACCTGCCAGGGAGCCTGAGCAGCCGAGACCCTGGGGCTCCAGGGAGCTAAAGCTGGGAGAGGCTCGGGAGGCTGCGAGACCAACCAGAATCCTGCCATCTGGCGTGGGAGGCCGAGACCTGCTTTTCCTGCCTGCTGAAATGAACATGGGCATAAAGTCGCCTATCCATGCTGCATTTCCTCATTTTTAAAAAATAAACTTTACGTTTTAGAACAATTTTACAAAGAAAAAAAAATCTGCCGAGAGTAGAGTTTCCATACACCCCACTGACCGGCTCCCCCTATTATTAAAATCTTATGTTAGTATCGTACATTTGTTACAGTTAATAAGCCTGTACGATATATTATTAGTAACTAAGATCTGTATTTTATTCCACTGCACTTTTAACATCCTATTAAATATAACTATTGGGATATAGCCGAATACAACTACCCGTACCTTTTTAAAGTGCACATTTTGATGAGTTTTGACAGATGAACATGCCCATGAAATTACCACCACGATTAAGACACAGAACAAGCCCAGCTGGGTGATGCATACCTGTAATCCCAGCAGTCTGGAAGGCTGAGGCAGGATTGAAAGTTTGAGCCCAGCCTGAGAAATTTAGCAACTTAGCAAGACCCTATCTCAAAATAAAAAATAAAAAGGGCTGGGATATAGCTCATGTGAAGGCTCCAGGTTCAAAGCTCAGTACCTTAGGGAAAAACCAAAAACAAAGATACAGAACATTTGCCTCAGGTTGTGTCTCAGAGGTAGAGTGCTTGCATAGAATCCTGGGTTCCATTGCCAGCACTGCAAAAAGAGGGAACGTTTCCATCACCCAAACAATTCCTTCCTGTCTCTGTGCACTGGATCCTCCCTCTGTGTCCCAGCCTCGGGCAGCAACTAATCTACTATTGTCACTATAGATTAGATTTACCTTTCCCAGGATGCACAAATGGCATCATACAGTTTGGAGTCTTTTAAAACCAACTTCTTTAACTCCTCATGGAATACACTTGCAATTCACCCAAGGCACTGTACCTATTAAGAATTCCTTCTGCACTGTTGGTGGGAGTGTAGACTGGTGCCACCACTTTGGAGTTCAGTCTGGAAATACCTCAAAAAACTGGGATTGGAAGTCCCATTCAACCCAGCTATTCTACTTCTGGGCATATTCCGAGAGAACTGAAAACATCATACCATGGTGATATTTGTGCACCCATGTTTATAGCAGCACAGTTTGTAAGAACCAGATCTTGGAAACAACCTAAGTGTCCATCATCTGAGGAATGGATAAAAAAGTTATGGTATTTTTATACAATGAGGTACTACTCAGCTATAAAGAATGATTACATTGAAATATTTATAAATAAATGGACACAGCTTGAGACCATAATCATAAGTGAAATAAATCAAACTCACCAAATAGTCTCTCTAGTGTAAGAAATGGTAAGAATACATAAAAGTATGTGGTAATCATGATTCCCCATTATATTGCTTTGAAGTCTTATAATGTTCTCATTCATTAGTTGGAATGGTTTTATTCTGGGTTGTTTGATTTTATTGTCTGTGATGGTATGAACAGCTATTTTGAATAAAACAAGACATTATAATAGCTAATGCTGATTTAATATCATCTTGTTTTGAAGTCCTACCAAGATTTTGTTCTTCTGTCTCCATCAGTTTTATCATGTTGTATCTTATTGGATTTTATTATATGTGATAGTATAAACAAAATTTTTTATGGACAAGGAGATAATATAGAAACCATTGTTCATTTTCTGTTAGTTGGTTCTGAATACCCTGTAATATTTTCATTCTCTTGAATGGTTTTATACTGTCTTATGTTTGATACTATAGTATACGAAGTTATACTCAAATATTTCAAGGAAAGTGACACTATGGTAGCTACTATTATGTCAGGTTGTCTTGTGGTGAAACACTATGTTGCTTAAATTGTTCTGTTCTGACCTGTTTTGTTATAACCTCTTTTATCTTAATCTTTTTTTTTAAATAAAAAAAAGAATTCCTTCTATTTGGCACAGTGGTGAACATCTGTAATTCCAGCACTTGGGAGGTTGAGGCAGGAAGATTGCAGGTTTGAGACCCGTGTGAATTACATAGCAGGACCCTGTCTCAAAATAAATAAGCAGGGCCAGGGATATAGCTCAGCGGCACAGCACTTGCCTGGCAAGCAAGTGGTAGTGGTTTCAATTCCTGGTACAAGAAAAAAAAAAAAAAGCAAGCACGAGGAGCCAGTGCACACCCGCCAGGGAGCCTGCACAGCCAGAGACCCTGGGCTCCAGGGAGGTGAAGCTGGAGAAGCGTCAGGAGGCTGCCAGACAAACCATGTCTCTTCATCACCTTACTATATGTTATATACATATATGCATATATGTGTGTGTGTATATGTATGTATGTACTTTGTTGATGATGATTTGTGTATTATTTATTTCTTCTGTGAAAAAGAAGATAAATCCAAACCCTGACGCCAGGCTGCTGGTGAGATTTTGGAGAAATTATACAACCTCTCTGTGCCTGTGTTTGCATATTTGTAAATGCACTTAATAGCTAGGCTGGAGACTATGGCATGGCCAGCTGACCGAGCAAGTAGATGTGACCTATCAATCATGCAGAATTAGGATGTGTACCCAAGCCCTGCACCTGGGACCAATCAGGGAATGCTACTGTATCTCCAGTGCGGCTTGGGAGAACCAAAGGAGGTTTTTGATCGGTCAGTCTAGATCCTATGTCTGTCTAAGGAGTGGAGGATACAAAAGATGGCTTCCATTAACCTCTTGGCTACTATCCTCTCTCTTTCATAGTGATTGGCTCTCATTCTGCAGAATATACCTCTTTTCCTACTTCTTATTGGCTCATAATTACTCTGCAGAGCGTGTTTCTTTTCCTACCTTTAATAAAATGTAAAACCCCACTACTTTTGGCATTTTTTTTTGGCCAGTTCTTTGAAACAACCTAGAAAAACCTCTATAACCCAGAAACCCAGAGCCTGGTAACATTTTGATGAAGCCAGCCAGCAAGGTAAGGCCTTTGAGCAAGGTTTTGGTTCTGTCCTTTTCTAAAATCTATGGATTTAGGTGAGAAGGACTGATTTAGTTTTTTCTTGTTTCCCTACTTCTTTCCCTGGGAAAGCCCAAACCCCACTCTTGTCCCTTCTCTCTTAAGACATCTATTGGAGGTTTCCAATCCTTTAACTTTTTTTGATGTTGGTTGTCAGAGAGACAGGGAGCTAGAAGGTGATAAAAATCTACTGGAAGCTGGGGAACTCTGGAAGTTTTGATTCTGGGGACAGTTTCTTGTGTCCCACCATGCAGGATTGGAGAGGGGAAGTGATGAGTTCCGCCCACATGAAACTCAGCGCGGCCTCTGCCCAACATGGCACTGGGCCTCAGAGCGACGACAGCGTGTCCCCTGAGTACTGACTTCCGCGTTCTTCTTTCAAGCCTGAAATTGAACTGCTCCCTTTTCTATTGCACTAGCATTCCCCCAATCAGCTGTCAATACGTCATTCTGTCCCCCCTCGAGCCCCATCCCCTGTCAAACCTATTAATCCCTCCCATCCTGTGCCTATAATAAAGGCCTTTTTCTTTTCTTCTTGCCTTTGTTTCTCTATAGTGCCAAGAAAAACCTGTCAGGAAGCTCACGGGCTCCGTGTTTTCCTGAACTGATAAGAGAGACCCCAGGTCTGCCTCAAGTTTCTCTCTCCTTTTCTTTCTAGCCTTTGGTCACTCATTGCTGGTATAAATCAGTTAATAGCTGCCCGAGAGTCTGTTACTAACCCAGGTGTGAAGCAGATTGTTCAAGTTCTATGTGTGCAACCTAGAGTTTCGTCTGCTTTTTGTCCTTGTATATCCTTTCTCCTTGATACTTTGCTCAGCTTTCTCATTCTTCTGGGAAAAATACCTATTGGGAACTTGGTTTCCTGCTTGAGTAGCCACCTATACTAGTTTACTTTTTTTTTTTTTGTCTTTTTGAGACAGGGTCTCACTATATAGTTCAGGCTGGCTCTGGGCTCACTTTGTAGCCCAGGCTGGTCTC